CATCCATCAAAAGCTGCTGGAGGAGCCAGCAAATCCTATTCAGCAGCATGGGCACTTCCCATCATCAGCATCCCATGAATCTCCCTCCTTGCTCCTTTGGCTGACTGAGAGCCCAGCAAGGCTGGGGCCCTTTTCCATGGCTTGATTTTCAATTAAGAGATAATGTCAGTGGAAGAGCACAGTTCATCAGGGATTGTTGTTGCAGAAGGCAGAGATGTGGTGAGCAGAGGTCAACTGCTCAAAATCTACGTGCCTGGCTAAAATATTGTATGATATGTTAGGCTAATTTTACTTCATTTTATATTCACATATATTAGTGCAGCTTTTGTTATATTCTTATCCTTATGTAAGTTACATCTGTTCTTTTATTCACTCACCCATGTTTGCTCTGCTTTCAGATTTATGAAACAGGCATTCCACTGAGCTCAGCAAATGATGGGCATAATAACTTATCTAAATTGCAAAGTATGTGATGCCCTTGAGGTAAACTCAGTTGTGAAGGTTTTATGAAGTGTCTCACATGTGGAAGTGGAGGAAAGTGTTTATTTGCCAACTCCTGTCTCTCCTTTGGCTGCTCAAATGATGTTAAGAGGATCCTGTGAAACTGCTACAAAAGCCTAGGGGCTAAATGGAGGGGAGAAGTAGAGCTGCATTATTATCCTGGTAGAGAAAGCAGAGCCATCCTGGCACTTCCACTTACACAGCTCTTCCCTCTTTGGATGTCAAAAGTTTCTGCTTGGCAGGCTCTGAAGTATCTATTTATTTAATGAAATGCCTCTCACTGTAACAATATTGTGAGGCTTTATTAATGAATTTATGGTTATGAGATAGGAAAGTAATCTCTTTTTTCTTTCTTTCTTTTTTTTTTTTTCTCTTACAGAGGGGCAAAGGCTCTGTAGAGGAAAGGGGGGCTGTTTTATTTACCTGAGATACTCCAACCCCCTCTGCCTGCCTGTGGCTGCTGTAAAGTCCTTCATTGACCATGCAGAGTCCTGATTCCTTGAGTTATTCAGGGCCAAGCTTTACTGCCAGTCCCAGCACTGATGTGCACATCAGATCTCACCAAAGGAGCTCACCAATAATAGCCAGATCTGGCTATTTCAGAGTGTCCCCCTCTGCTTAATTCTGTCTCTGGAGTTTTGTGGGACAGAGCTGAGTTAACATCCTAATTTCCCTCAAAATCTCTTGGAGTTTCCTATTCATTAATGCTGAGCCTTGTGCATCAGAGATCGTTGCTTAAACCACTGGGCTAAATAAGTCTTGCTAAAATAATAAATTTAAATATAATTTGAATTAAACAGAGAATTTACACTTTAAAATCCAGTAAGCAAAAATACATTTCTACCTGTCTGCTGGTGAAGACTTAAGCACCTTTTAGAAAGAGGGTTTGATTCTCTTTTCCTTAATGTTTCCTATTGAAAGCTTGAGGTGGGATTCTCATGCATAAAGGGGAGTTTCAGAGAGGTTAATTCTCATGAAGTGCTGAAGTTCTGATTTTTTAAATACCTTCAAGGCTCAATTTATAACACATTTTGGACAGAGCCAGTAACCAAAAAAACAGTCCTAAGCCTTGGTATGTTGCCTCAAATCCTCTGTGAGCCCAGTGGTCTGGCCACAAGCAAGCTGAGTTTGGGAATTTCTGACAACTCTAAAAAGAAGGAAGTTGGTAAGTTTTTCTTAGGAATGTCCATATTCCTGGAGTAGAGTTTAACTCAGTCCCTCCATTCATTGCTGGAAAGCTTTGAGGGTGACTGTTTCCCCAATTGCTGGGGAAATTTTACCCAGGGGCCTGTGAGTAAAAGCGTCAGTAAAACCCTGCAGAATAGGGATGTTGGGAGGCTGAGCAGACCCATCTTCCCTGCCTCTGAGGCACTCCTCAGGGACACCAAGAGGTGGGGAAAGGCTCTGTGGGAGGATGTTTCTCACTCTCCCAAGGCAATCTGGGCTTTCCTGGGCCAGCTCCCCCCGTGGCTGCAGGCACTGCCTGCTGATACTGAGAGAAGCACCTCCCGTGCTCTGATGTTCTATATTTTCCCAGCTAATTATGAAGTAATTTTTCATTTCTTGGTGTTTAAACTCACAAAATAATTAGCCCATTTGATAAATTAGTTGGCTTAAAAACGTAAATCTGTCAGTGAATTGGAGGAGCAGTGCAGCACCCAACCCACTTGCAGCTACAGATCTATTGGTACTTTGTCAGTCCTGTAAATTCAAAATTGTTCAGATTAATTCCAAACTAATTTCATAAACCCTCCACTATGACAAGAGGAAAAGTGTTTGGGTGTCAGGCTTTGTGCCCTTTGATGTCAGATTTCAGCCTGAGTGAATTTTTTATGGCTGACTCTGGAATATAAAACCCTGAAAACAATGGTTTGTAATGGCAATTCTGACAGACCCTTTAACCATTTGGAAAATAGGCACTGCTATAACCCTGCTGCATTAGAGAAAACTGTTGAGTGCTTTCATTAGGTGCAACAGCTGTTTCTATTGCAAAAGCCAAACTTCACTGGTGGGAGCATAGCTGTCAGCTTTCCAGAGCTTTGCATTTATAGCTGATTGTACAAACTCCTTTATGTTCTGTTTTTTGCTTTCCAATATATGTAAATTAATTCAACAGCAAAAATACAAAGAACTACCTTGAAACTAAATATGTGTGAAGGTTCTTTGTAGGCTCCTACAATCAGTGTCATGTGATGAGTGAGCTGAGAAATTCTGAACTTTTGGGAATGGTTCTAGCTCAAGTGATGTGGTAATCCACACCACAGAAAATTTTAATCGGATTTAATCCTCCTCCTTGGTAATGTGTTAGAGACCTTTAACCTAATGTAAAATTCTTAATTAGAGCTGATTTAAAAAACAACAACCACAAACCACCAAAAAAATCCAACAAGCCCCTCTCCTCCGAGCTCCCTGAGTGTTCTCCTGTCTCTTCTGTTTAAACACAATTTTTTCCTAAGAACATGCTGAATGTGCTGAAATGCATATTTTTTTTTGAAAAAAGTAAAGTTGATGATGCTTTTCATTTCTTTGTTCTGACATAATGCAGAAAAATATTTTAGTGTTATGAAACAAACAGTGAGTTCTGCCTGGAACAAGATGCTTCAAATCAAATAGTTATGTGAGTTGTCAGAAATTAAATGCAAACATATGCTCAGAATGCAAACGAATTTTGAAGCACCAAATTTTGTAATGGCAGGGAGCAGGTTTTAATGCATTCAGTAAATTTCAATCCCAAATATTGAGTTATGCACAGCTTGATTTTTGTTAAAATTATACAGAAAGCAAAATTATCCAGAGGTATATATAAAGGATGCACATACAGACAAATACACCAAAGAAAATACTTTGTTTTACTGAACTTGCAGTGAGATATTAGTCACTCTGTGTTAAAAAATATAGGAATAAACAAAATTTTGAGGAACCTTTAGTAAATATTTAGCTATTTCTGTTCAATCCATTCCCAACAACCTGTGGTCATTCAGAGTTGTGAAAATCAGGCTGGTTATTCAAACACCTCACTGTGGGTTAAAATGCTGACTTTGGGAAAAACTTTGGAACTCTGTCTTTCATATTTAAGTATACTGTGTAAAATTGGAAGGCTAGGTATTGGAGAAGTACAGGGAATAGGCAATTTGTAGCTATGTCATTTACACTTATCTAGCTAACAATGTTTATTATGTAAGGCAGGAAAATATATGTAATTGTATAAGTATATATAATTTATGTCATGCAGCATTTGTGTTGCAAAAGGTTCTCATGATCTGTAGGCAGGTGGGAGAAATTTAGAGACTATCCTGGTGCAATGTCAAAAAAATAGGAATATTTGTCCTTTGTTTTGCCTCACAAGCTTTTGAAAGAGATGGAACCCAGTCTGTCTATAATTTGGGGCATTTAAGATTTGATTAGTTTCTGAAAACATTCTGTTCTTGTAAAACTTTATTAAAAGCCACTGATCTGACAGCTGACTGAGGCAATACACACCTACTCAGGCTTTCTCTAAGGAGAGATAGATGCATTCTGAAATTGTAATTCAAATAACTTAGGAATAGAATGAATATAATCACATTGAAAACACCTTGACCCTCCATCCCCGTGGTGTCTTTCAGACATCTCTGTCTCGTTTGCTCATCCTGGGTACAGAGGCTGTGCAGGCAGGGTTTGGGGTTCTCAGTGCCTTACCTGAGATCTGTCTGCAAACCCCAAGCCCAAGGAAGGGCAGTTCCAAGTCCTGCCAGTGCAGAAATCCAAACCCACATCCATTCCCCAGCCTGTCACTGCATCCACAATGCAGAGTGACCGTGCATCCCTCTGGGGCCCGAGGGAGCTGCAAGAACCATTAATAACATTTTCCCTCTCTGGTGACACGTTCTGTCCTTTTCCTCACAAGGGGCTGAGTGTCTGCGGTGCTCAATGTCGAGCTGCGATTTGCTCTGCTTTGAGAGACTTTGTAGAAATGTAAAACACTCCTCTTACACCCCAGCCCGACCTATTGCTCATTCTGCCGGGTCAGACTCGTCTGTGCTGAGAGGCAGCACAAGGCTCCCTGCATTTTACAAATCCTTTCAGAATTAAATTGACCAGTTGCTGTGCAGGGGCTCCAGAAAAGCATTTACATGTCTTTTACCTCTCACATCACCAAAGCCTCATTTGAGCTCCACTAAGAGACCTAATTTGTTGGGCTGAATTTCATTCCCTAACAACTTCCCCCCCACATCCAATTAGCACAGTACCACTTGTGACAAAGATAGAAGAGAATTCTAATTATCAGCCAAAAAGAAGCTATTCAGGTTGGGTTTTTTGTCTTTTTTGTTTTCTTGAGTTAGACAATCCCATGAGACCATTAGCATGGACAAAGTTCAAGCATAGGGGCTAAATCAAGCAATAAACTTGTGTTTGTGGCCAGTGCCTGAGCACTAGCAGAGTTCAGGGGGTGCAGTCAGGTTTCAAATAGCACTTAGATTTTTTTTAATCTTTCAAATAGATACGACTCAGGTGGAATTTTACTCCCCAAGGAGTAATATAGTCTCCTGCCCTTTGCTGCTGCTTTTTACCTTCTCAATTTTAGTCCACACATGTTCTTCACTTCTTCCTTCAAGGATGTCCATGGCATCAGCCATTAGTGACTGCAGCTGTGGTACCGAGATAAAAATTATCAGTGTGGAATTCACACAGAAATAACTTCTCTAAATACACAGATTAAAACCTAATTAAAAAATCATTTGTACGCTGATGATTTTATTACTCATCTTTCACACAATGAGCACTGCCACCTCATCTTTGCTTCAGCCATTACACAGCCATCCACTATTGTGGATATAACATACTTCACAATGGGAAAAAAATACTCTGGAAAATTTGTTCTTAAGCCTATACATTTTAATGCAGTAAATGTTTATATTTAGTAAAGGAAGGCTTGGGTTGTAAAGAATAAAGGCTCCATATTTTATTCTTTAGCTGTCTGAGATATTCCGTGTCATACGTGAATGCTTTTTAGTATTTTCTCCCAAGGCTAATGTATCATCATTTAAAGCAGCATGTAAAACCTTACAAGAGGACAACAATAAAGCTGAGATGCTTTTACTGTAGCTGGAAGTATCTAGCTCATTTTCCCTGCTTTTACTATCCTTTTCCTTTGGCAAACCCTTCCTTCTCCCCATCATTCAGCATAAGAGAGCATAAAACCAAGGCTGACAATTTCTAGTGTAAACTATAAAAAGAAGCTGAGGGAAAATACTTGGTAATCTGTCCTTAGTGTTAGAAGGGAGGCTAAAATTCTAAAATTCCAGGTAGCTGCAGCAGTGCCTCACTCTGGTACCCTGCCAGGTTAGTCACAGCATTGCCTCACCCTGCCCCTTCCCCAAACACCTGGAAATGTTTCAGCAGCTCTTAGTGCAGTAAGAGAGACACAAAGCTCGGATCCTTGAGCAGACTCCTGTGAGCAGCATCACTATTTAAGGACAAACTGGGAGAAACTGGTATTTAATTCCTGTCACATTGCTGTGCTCTGGTAGGTCTATTCCAAAGCGTTCAGCTGCTTAAAGAGAATGCAAACCACAGGTTTTGGAACCTCTTCCCAAATCCATTGCTCATTACAAGGAATTGGACAATATAAGCATTAGAATTTATGGAGCAGTTGTCTTTTCCCTCAAGAAATTGTCTCTTCCATCTGTACCCAGACAGGCAGCAGTCTAATATGAGAACATAGGTGGTAAAACTTAAAACATCAGCATTTAGGCTCAGCTGTACAAGAGAAAAAGATGCTGCCCTGAGATTCAAGAAGCAGATCTGCATTTCCTCAAGTTACCCTACACATTCAGGTATTTGAAGTTAAAATTATTTATCTGTATCCCAGCACTAGATAAAGGATACAGGAATCTTCTTTTGAATCTCTAAAGAAATTTGTTATGCTCAATCCCAGCCTGTTTTCCCTGTGCTTGTGCAACCATTAAGTTGAATATTGTTGGTCCGAACTTTTTATGAAATCTTTTGGGTATTTTTAAGTTGTGCATCAGCATTGATAAAAAAAAAACCAAAAAAACAAAAAAAACCCCAAAAACCAAAAACCAAAAAACCTATAAATTTCTGCTCTGACTTCAAGAGTTAACCTGTCAGAAATTTTCTATCACCATAATTTATGACACATAATCTCCTTCAATGAATCCAGAATAGACAGAGCCCAGAGATTAAGGGTATTAAGGGCAGAATGGGCAAAGCACAGATCCTGCATCAAACCAGGCAGCAGAGGGACTGGTCAGGAAGGGGAGGATGTTCCCAGTGCTTCCATGGAGTAATTCTCCTGGAGAATTGGCTGGGCAGCACCCACTGGGACAGGGACCAGGACATTGGCCTGTCACCCCTAAGGGGCTGCTCTGGCAGCCCAACCAGGCTGCAAATTTCACTGCTTTGGGCAATAAGTTAAAACAAGAAATCTTTCCAATTAGTTTCACTGATATTGGTACATGCCAGTGAAAAGTGCCCATTGTGTGGTGTGGTTTTAATTTTTATCACCCGAAGTGTTTCACCAGCTCTATTGGCAGATGAAATGTGCAGCTACAAAAGTGGGCAGTTGGCAAACCATAGTAATTCTCCCAAAGCTGATCTTTTGTGGAAAATCCCCCCTAAAGAGAAATGTGGCGTTAAAAAAAAAAATCAAATCCTAATTTGATTTTAAATGAAAATAGATTTTTTATTTTTTACAGCCTTTCATCTTGATTTATGATGTACAAATATGGTGACATTGAAATCATAAACCTTGGAAAGATTTTCTTCAGGGTTTTTTCTCCACCTATATTAATTGTTCAGGCTAACTGAAATCACAGCATCTTTGTTTTCCCAGGGTCTCTGAAAAAATACTGACTTAAAAAGGCCTCAGTTGAGGTTCCCTGTGCCATATCTTAGGACTTTATTTATTTAGTTACAGGAGGACATTTACACAGAAGAGTTTATAACTGAAATGTCTTTGGGATCCTTGTGAGTTGTACTATTATAAATTCAGTGTCTTTTAAACTTTATACAACTTATTCAGTATGTGATAATAAACATTTGGCATCTTTAGCCCTTTCTAACTCACACAGTTTAAATGCCTCCCTTGCTCATAAAGTCTTATCTCAGTTTTTCCAGTGTACAGTCAGAATGACCTCAGAGGAATTATTTTAAATTTTTATTTGTCCAATGCTCGATTAGAACTTGGCCAGCTCAGTTTCCTTCAAGGAAAAGAAACGAGATCTCTCTCAGAAATGTTGGTGAGGAGTGAGAATTACATGGGGCCAGCCTGGGTGCTGTGTCTCTGACCCCAGGGACACGGGGCTGGGTTAGGGCGTTCACAGGGGTCTCAGGATGAGGGAAGAGATGAGGATTTGACTTTATGTTTCAGAAGGCTTGATTCATTATTTTATTATATATATTACATTAAAACTATACTAAAAGAATAGAAGAAAGGATTTCTTCAGAAAGCTAGCTAAGAATAGAATAGGAAGGAATGATAACAAAGGCTCTGTCTCGGACTCCCTGTCCGAGCCAGCTGGGCTGTGATTGGCCATTAATTAGAAACATCCAACATGGGCCAATCACAGATCCACCCGTTGCATTCCACAGCAGCAGATAATCAATGTTTACATTTTGTTCTTGAGGCCTCTCAGCTTCTCAAGAGGAAAAATCCTAAGGAAAGGATTTTTCATAAAAGATGTCTGCAACAGGGCTGCCTCTGGAGTGGCCACTGAGAGCTGCTGGATCTCAGCAGGACAGGCCAGTCCTGCAGAGGGTTCATCCTCTGTGGACCCCAGTGAGGGGAGGAGGGGGCAGGAGGATGAGGAGGCGAGGATCTCCCTCTGCCCCTTTCCCTGGATGACTCAGGAGTGCAGCCCCAGCCATGGGCAGCGATGCTCTGTGCTCGATGCAGCTGGGATGTGAGAGGAACCAGCCCCTACTGGCATAGGAGAAGCCTGTGCCATGTGTGCTGGTGTCACCAGGAAAGATAAAGCCCATTAATCACTCCCTGGTGAAGTTATTCTGCAAGTTCTTGCCTGCAGTCTTGTGCCTTCACACTGTGGTGCCTTAACTTTACTGAAATATTCCAGTTTTAAGGCAAACGAGCCTCCATTTGCACACAGAGAATAAAGATATATTTACAGCTGGGTGGCAGAACAAAGAAAAATAGATGAATTCTGAATTAATGCAGTGTAGCTGGTAGAGATTTTCTGTCTTTATGCTTGTAAAAAAGCATTTTTACCTTGTGCTCAATAAACAAAAAATACGTGTTTCATTGAAAGATTTAAAGCTTGTCACTTAAATGCCCCAGCAGGGACCTTTGTCCTGCCCAGTTCTACCCTTAAGAGACTGAAAACCTGTCTTGGGTGGCCTGAAGCCTCTCCAAAAAGCTTTCCAGGGAGGTCAGGTTTATGATTACTGCCTGACAAGATACAGACAAGAGAGTGAGAGCCTGCGCCCGACGTGCGATGTACTGAAAATATTGTGCCCTGGAGAAAAACCTATCACTGAAATATGTACCAATAACTCAAGACCCTTTAGTCAGCCTTGAAATGTGGGCCTGCTGAAGTTTAATACCAGAGAACTTGAATCAAAAGGAGAATGTCTTTTAATAACACAGTTTCTTTGCAATGTCGTTTCCCCTTATCACCAGCCCAGACTTCAAAGTCTGGCAGCCACCTCCTGCAGTTGCAGGCTGCTGCTTCTCTTCCCTAAAGCAAGCTGCTGTGAAGCTTTAATTCTGCAGAGCTTAGGAGCTTTGCAGGACTGCAAACAAATGGCAAGGGACTGGCTTTGGGAAAACCAAGAGTTTTTAGTTGGATCATCAAAATTGGACTGTATTTAAATGCAAGGGCTGTGGAGGGACTTTTTTTTTTCCCCTAGAATGAAATGCTTAAAATTTACATGTACCTGAGCTCCCTCTTTCCCCCTTCATAAAACCTGACAGCCTTGAGGAAGAATAATCATATGCTACTTTCTGATTGCAGCTTATTGATGTGCTATCAGCCTTTAATGACTCCAGTCCCAGCCCTGCTGGCATCACTGCCCTCCTCTCACAAAGGGAAAGCAAAGCATGGGTTATTCAGAGACAAGGAGCAAGTCATGGATGGAAGCAGGAAAGGAAACCTTTCCTTCCCTCCTCTGCCCAGCTGTAGCTGGATTGGGCCTGTTTTGCAGCAGGTGGCTTCTGAGGTTAGATAACTTAAAGTAGCACAATCTGAATAATTGCAATCATTTTCCCAGACTGATTTGGGGAGGTTTGGGGGAAAAGAAGAGGTTTTAAAAATATGCCCACAGATGAGTCATGCTGGTTCTATAAAAGTCATCCTTGCAGGTGATCAGCACCTCCTCTGATAAAGCACTGAAGGACGATTTAAAAACTACTTCAGGGCTGCACATTGGAAAAATGAGTTACAGAGCACATTACAGTGCAGGGCTCTGGCCCAGCCCTTCCTTCCCTGGCTCCCTTCTTCTAAAGGCCAAAATAGGTGTTAGAAATAAAACCTGACCAGGTCTGCACCCTCCCAAGAGGCTTCCTGCAGGCAGGGATGGTCACCAGCTCAGCCATCACTTGATTCATCACTTGGGGCTGCTCCTCCTCCCTCTGCCAGAGGCCAAGGAGGTTGGTGAAATGGAACCTCTCCATCACACTGGACACGAGCTGTGCTTGCCCTGTTTTCCCAGCAAAAGCAGGGAAAGGTTAGAGGACAGTTACAGGAAAAAAAATCTTGTCCTTTAAGTCCTGCACCTGGAGGCTTATCAACCCCTATATTTGTGCTATTTTATAAGCAATGTGATATCCAGCACCTTAAAGATAATGCTGCTGACAGTATCTGAAGGGGGGAACAAAAAAAGATGGATTTTCTTGCCACACTCTCTCTAGTAGTAGTAGTAGAAAAATAAATATGCAGTCATAACATATGTGAAGGGGGGCCAGCAGATAACAAACTTGAATGCAATTTTATCATTTGGAAATGGCTTTTCCATAATCCCCTGTATTCAATATTTCCTAACTTATATGGATTGCTTTGAAAGTTTCAGTGAAGAGGTGGAGGAATGCGTGCAGTGTGTCAGCTTACGGTTTGTTTGCAGACTAGGCAAATCCAGAGTTTTCAAATATATAACCTTGAGGGCCCAAAACCTGCAGAGGTGGTCTCTGATCCTCCAGGCAGCCAGGCACATGGTAAATTTTAAGTGTGTGAATACAGAAACTCAGCCAAGTGCTTGCATAAAATCTCAGCACCTGCTGAAGTGTTTGATGGATGGCAGCCTTGCCACCATATTTTCAGAAGTATTCTGATGCCAAAAATGCAAATAAGCACCCTACTGAGATTTTCAAAAGCAATTTGGCCTAGATTCCCGACGAGATGGAGCCATTGCATATCTGAATGCTCAGCCCTTCAGAGTGAAATTTCCATTCATCTAATCAGGGTTTTGAATGCACTTAAGTGCCTGAAATTCCAAGAATTGGCATCAATTTTCAAAACCACTTCCAGTATTTTTAGCAGACCTTTGTTCTGGCAGCTCCATATGGTGGCACCCTGATGCTGCCATTTCCATGCACTTCAGGTAGGTGATTCTAGGTCCAATCATGAATTGAACACAGTGAAAGGAAAGTTTGGAATGACATTTATTTTTTCAACAAACTCTGTCCTGTTTTTAAATTGAACCTCTCTTCACAAAGAATCTTCCTCATTTGATTTAGTCTTCATCTTGGTTTTGCAGAAATTTGCACTGGGCAACCATCAAGTGTGAACATTGTTCTTTTATCAAGGCTAAGAATTTAATAACAACTCTGATCTTGCTTTCTATACCTCTTACAGGAACAGTAATGGAAAAAAACCTCGGTTTTCTTTAATTTTAAAAAACCACAAATAATCCTGGTACAGTTAATTTTACACCTTTTAATCTAACACCTAAGATAATTGTGAAACAGTGCGAAATAAAAGACTACGGTGCTGGAGACCAGCAGAGTAATGGAGCTGTAATCTGGGAGCTCCAGATGTGAGAGCAACTGGAAAAGAAAGAGCTGAGGCAGTGGACTGGTATTTCCATTAGCTGAAGGAGAGAATCAGGCAGTGCACAGGGAAAAGCAGCTCTGGTCAGCAGTTCTCTGGAGGATTGCTGATAGCTCCATCTGATAGCTGTGTTTGGAGAGGTTAATTGAAACCCAGGCATCACAGAGCAGAGAAGCCAGCACGGTAGGAGATACCTCTTTTGAGAGAAGTGTGCTTTGATTAGTCTATTAATGAAAATGCCAAGAGCTTATTATTCTTCTCAATAAACATAATGCAGGGCTGAATTCCAAAGAGAGCAAACAACTGAAAAGGAAAGGAGAGATAAAAGACAATGATAGCAGAAGGACCATTATGTAAAAATAGGTACCAACCAGATAGTTAAGCTTGTGATAATTCAGGTGGAAGGTCTGCAGTGTGTTTAACTCAGAGCAGAAAAGACAGAAAGCCTGACTAGTTCTAAGATGGATTTTACTGGATGTATGAGTGAGATATTTGGTGAAACAAAGGTGTACAACAGCACATGACTTGAGGATGCTGGAGGGTCCTTCCAAACCCATCTTCTCATGAACTGTTATCCCAACTCTAAGAGGGGAGACTGGCACAACCTCCTTACAAACTACATTTATCACTTGAAGAGTCCTTTTCTGAGGACCTGACCTAGCATTACTAGGAGATAACCAGCAAGAAAAGAGTTTCCTGTGCTCTCTGATATGTGAAATTATAACTCTGACCCTATCTAGTTAACATGGTGCTGAAGCAAGGAAGAAAATGGAGCTTGGTCTCCACCCAATCCTGGTTCTCTCTGAAAGCCCCAGGCAGAGCTGTGGGCATTAAAGGAAGGAGAAGCAATCAGTTAATGAGGAAGAAAGAGAGCTCTTATCAACACCAAATAGTCTCACGACATTTGAGATGCAGCAAATGGTTTTCCCTGCTATTCTTGAAATCCGCCCAAACCCTTTTTGTGCGAGCACTAAGAAATGAGAGTGTTGAGTCATCAGCTCAGAAAGCAGGTAACAATCTTCTCTCATCATGCTGTGTCTGTTGGGGGCTTCTCCAGTGATTAAGAAAGTGAAGGCTAAAAGAAAACAATTTTTTCTCTGCTTGACTCTTCAGAAAAATATAAGGGCAGGTCACGTAGCTCCTGGAAACAAATTTGGCATCTGAGCCAGCACTCACTCTGTGGACACAGCAATGCTGTTTAAATTTAGAGTAGGTTGGAAATAAATAAATAAATGACTGACAAGTAGGGCTTTTTTGTTTTTTTTTTTTTAAGGGATTAGAGGAGGTTGAACATTGTCAGAGGTGGTGTTTCAGTGACGATGAGAAATGCAGAAAGAGAAAGTAAATAACTGCTGCTGGCAGGAAGAAAATTTCCACAGGGAGCTGATCCGCATGATGAGAATTACATGAACTGTAGCAGAATTCAAGGGGCTACTAAGCTGCAGTAAAAAACATGATAAAGTGACCTGGCAATCAGATGAAAGTGAAACCAGCCCAGGTAGCCACAGTGAAGGTCAAGCAAGCAGCAAACTTAAATGGAGACTCAGGGGAAAAGAGGAATTAGGTAGCAAAGGAACCCAAAATGCAGTACATAGAGTAAGAGCTGTATTCTGGTCAGAATACAGACTTCAGTAACAGAATTCAGTAACATATTCAGATAAGAAACAGGTAAATGATGATGCTGTTACTTTCTGGATGTATCTCACCCCTGTTGACTAGTATTTCAAGGAGAATTTAAAAGAGAAGGTAAAAATAAGCAATTGATGGATTTTCTGTTGAGGACAGAAATGGGCAGCCTCACAAGAGGGAGCATTCCCTGGAAAACTTTTTGCTGCACAAATTCCCTTTAAACTAAAACCAAAAAAGGAATTTATTCCTGGAGGCTTCTTTGAAGACCTTCCTCTCTGGGAAGAAAGGACAGAATAAGGTCCTGCTGCCCGAGGATCAGCCCTGTGACATCCTCCTTCCTCTGACCTTGGGAATGAAAAAGCACCCACACAAAGCAGATCAGGCTCTGCTGGATGGAGCTACCTTGGCTCCTGCTAAACACCCAGCACTAACAGCCAGAACAAAGCTTTCCTTGCAGAAAGGAGCTGCAGAGCATGTGAGAGGAGTGAATCATGTGTCCTTTCATCTATTGAGAACTTCAGCGTGATACCCCCACCTTTTCCTTTTCTCTAGATGCAGGAAAGGAGTCATCCCTTCTGCTACTTCTATTTATAAATAAAGTTAAATTGCTGACTGCTAAAAAAAAATATATATATTAAAAAAAAAAATCAAAAGGAAAGCGAAGTTTGGTCAGCCTGGATTTTAAGCAGGATGTGTCATACCCAACACTCAGGGCATGTTTGAGTATCAGCTTAAAGAGCACCACTTTGCAAAAGTCTGGAATGTCCCCCAGGAGTTCTTGTCTATTGTGAAGCCCTTTCAACTGTTTCTCAGCTCAAAAATCTCAATGAAGTTATGCCTTGCAAGCAGCTCTGTAGTGCATTGCAATAACAAGCAGGAAAAAGCCATCATCATGTTTCTTTAATGCCCCTGGTATCCTTCAGGAAGTGTTTGTGCTGAAACCTGTCTGTAGTAAATACTTTCCCTCCACTTAAAAAACAGACAACAAAAGAGTGAGATCTGTAAATGCAAGCATCATGCTGTGAATCATGTGGTAGGTTTTGCTCACCTTTCTGGTATTGAGGAGTCTAATAAACCCCTCTGGCCACACTTTCTCCTCTTAAGCAGCATCATGTGCCATCAGCATGGGACTACAGCAAGAGAAAGGCAAACTTGGTGTGCATAAAGCAGCAGAAATTACCCCAGTGAAATCACTGAATAGAAGAACTGCCTGTCAGTGCTGGCAGTCTGGGCTGGGGTCTGAGTAGCTGCAGGTCTGACCAGCAGACATCTTTAAGGCAAATGAAATAACCCTTGTGCCAGGGTACTTCTGGGTAGATGAGGTTTATGGCATTTCCCAGATGAGGGGCAGACTGTGACATTCTTTCTCAAATTGCTTTAAAATACCCAAATGTCCCCTTGATTTAAATGGAACTGGCTGTTCTTTATGAGGAAGGGGGCGGGGCAAGAGAAAATTCTCTGGTTTTTAAACCTCTAACTTCACATCATACCAACACTGGTGTGTGTGTGCATAAAGCACATAATTAACTCCAGGTTGTGTGGCTGCACAACTGAGGTGGCACAATTGCCTTGAATATTAAGTGCTGCCATGGCTTAGTAAGATCTTCTTTAGCCCTGAAATGTTTTTGTCAAAAAAAATCTCATCAGGACAAGAATTTGGATTGCACATTTGCATCCTCAAATGAAAAAGAAGACAGAAAGGAATGTTATTGCTATTAAAAAAACCAAAGATATTCTTTTATCTTCTTAAAATAAATTGTAAAGCTTAAGTGTGCAGCTGAAGTTTGTCTTGCAGAAGTTTTTAATTTAGTTTGCGTGTGACAGAAGTAAGATGGAGTCATATTTCTAGCTTAAAGAAAATTTTGGAATACTTTTAAAGAAGCAAAATTGGCCAAGTCTCTCAGCACCATAGAGATGCTATCCTCAGCAGCAGAGCAGCTCTGGCTCTGTGTCTCTGTAATTCCCTTTGTCTTTTGCTCTTTGGTCTGCTTGAACCACGTGGTCCCGTTCCTCCAAATTCATTTACAGAGTAGGGTAATTTTGGAAAATACAAAAGATACCTTATTTCAAAGTTTCTTCTCTTCCTGATACCCTTTAGAGATGTACAACTGTGACAGAAGAGCCTTACCTCTAAAAGCTCTGTGTCATACCCAAAGAGAGAATTGTGGACTCAATTACTCTTTCCAAATTGCACTTTCACTAGGGCTTTTAGAAAGGCCAGGGGTTTATTCTGTAGCCAGTGCCCAACCCCACTGTCTGTTTGCACTTGTAGCTTCCTGAAGTGCCCTGAAGTGCAGTGCCCACAGCAGTAACAGATATTTCACTTTCCCAGGGATGCCACTGCTATCAGCCCACACATCAATAACTCAGGCTTTTGGTCATCCAAAGCCAACAGCACAAGGCTTCAGGAGAGAAGCAGCTGTGCTTCCCTGGGGATGTCTGACCCTTCTCCTGCCTCCCAGCCATGCAGACACTTTGTGAGCTCCCATTTTGGGAGAGCACTGAGCACCTTCACCTCCCACCAGCCCCGCGGGTTCAGGCGCTCAGCGTTGTTGCAGCAGCTGCTCTCTGGAGCTGAAGGAGATAGAGCTTCCTCAAATATCCAGCTAATGTTTCTTCCTTGCTAGGGGTTGCTAAGTAGCAGTTTTTGTCAACCTCCAATCTAAGAATATAAATCCTGTGATTTGCTAAGACACTCCTGACGAGAAAATGGCTCCGATCCCCTGAGCACAGAGAACTCCAACCCGGTTATTGCTGGGGAAAAAGCATTAACATTAGCATGCACAATCTGGGCAGGAGGAGAGGCTTCTTCCTCATATTTTCAGGAGAATAATTTAGGAATTGCATTAAAACAGTCTAGTCTACATGCAAATTTGATTTTTGACCTTTTGTGCTAATCAACAGCCATGCTGCTAAAAAGCTGTGTACATTATTGCAGAAAGTATGGAGTGGAATTAACTAATATACATTGGATGTGGCTGTGGCAGATTTGAAGGTTATTTCACATACATCCTTACACAGGGATCAGCATCTGAATCATCAGAAATGCTTCAAGGAGCAATCATTAGCTCTTGATGGAGATCCTGGTGGAATGTGTAGTATACTATGGATATTAAATATAGTGGGTAGTTTCGTGGTTATATGGACAAGGGATATGATACATTAGGCCATAAATATTTGAGAAAATTGCATGTTAAATGATTTAAAATTAACTGGGTACTGTTTAATTAGGAATACTTTAAAAAAGTATCTAAACCCCATTTGATCTCAGCTTCTGTCACAGCTCATGGGGTGTTTCTGGACATGGGAGGAGCAGCATGAAGTACCCACCTAAAAGCACAGCATCATTCCCACACAGAGGATTCTGCCACCACACATCACACACCAAAAAGAGGTTTTTATAATGGTGCTTCTTATAAAATCCATGACAATATTTTTTCCCAGTTCTGTCCCCAGATTGTTTTGTTTCTTCTTCCATGGTAGGACTGAAACGTGCCTTCTGGTCTAGGAAATGAAATAAACATACCATAGACTGTGGTTTTTTACATATTCATTTTCTGTAGAGGAAGGTCAGGTTAGGATAAACTGGAGGAGTGAGGAGGATGGGGAGACTTCTCTGGCCAAAGAGAAAAGGGCCCAGAGAAACTCCCCAACCCTCCTGTTCCAGCAAGGATTGTGGAGATCCCCCTTGAGCTATCCCAGCCTCTAAGCAAGTTCTGCACCTGAAAATATTGGCAGTTTTCTAGTTACAGACCTTTCCAAGTTTTTTTTGTTTCTGAAACCCACAGTCAGTGAGCACTGCTGGGCAGGCAGGCAGAGATTCAGCCATCTCTGGCCATGTGTAAATTCCATGAGGATCTGGAATAGCAAAATGAAGATAATTTCTAGTGTCACATTTCAGATGGAAGAGAAGCTACTTGGTTCTGGGGCAAAAAAATAGGGACTGAAATGGGTTCCAGAAATCTTGCCAGAACTAAAGAGACCAAACCAACCCACCCAGCTCTAACAGAGTTTTGGAAATCCAGACTTTGCAACCTTTTGCATCAACAGCTTAAGGTTTGCTGATGCATAGGATAAAACCTGTTCTTCCCATCCATGCACTTTTCAGTGCTGATCATCCAAAGCATTAAGAACTCCACCCTTCAGAACACGTCACCCAGATCTTCTAGCTGCAAAAGGAGCTGGTGTGTTGTCCCCTGAATTCTTGAGGTTTAATTTCCCACAGATTTGTGCTTTTGCCATCAGCAGCACCAGCACAGCCCCAGGTTTCCTGCTTGTCCTGTCTGATCTGCACATGCCAGCTGTGTCCAGCTGTGTCCAGCTGTGTCCAGCGCGTGTGAGTGCTGCTGTCACCCCCTGTGTGTCCCTGGCTGGGTCTGCCCCCACCTCAGCAAGGACAGATGCTCAGAGCACTTGCACAAAGCCCCTTTGTGTCAGGAGCTGGACCAGCTCTGCCCTCCCTTCCCTTCCCCTGCAGAAAATAAACCTAGATTGAATGTCAGTGTCACTTCTCACAAAGGAGTGCTCTGTTTGCAGGGAGCTCTGCTTTTAAGATGCCAGGCTGTGTGGTCACAGTGACAAATGGAGAACCCCACTCAGTGCTCTCCAGACTTACCCTGACATAAATCAAAGCAAGTGGACCTGATATTTCCCTTGCAGCATATTCTGCTGCTGATGGATTCCCAATTTCGTGACAAACTGCATTGTACACTTGGATTTCTATGGGTATCTGCTCCTTTTCCTTGGCAATAGGAAAACTTTGAAACCATTTCAGGCCTTACACTCCAGCAGAACTTGGACTAAAATTGGACAGATATTTGTTGCAGAATAGGAAGGGTATTTAAAAGAACATGTTCGTGAGATGCCTGGTATTTCACACCCACTGATAGAATAGGATTTAACTCCTATTTTTAATTTCACCTATGAGAGATTCAGACCTGCAGTTTGAATGCTCTCAGTACCACACTGACAAAGAACTGAACATGTGGCTTGTGATTTTTTTTTTTTTTTAAGTGGGCACTATGATTTTAGATTTTAGATTTTTATCAGATCTGAATAGATAAGTTGAGTAAACACTACAGACTTGGCTGACTTCACCTAATACTGTTCTGACTTAGCATCAAGTGAAGGACAAGGAGCCATATCTGCTCTGCCTGAGAGGGTTCTCAGGACAGCCCTGATATGTTTACATTTGTTTTTTCCTTTGCCTTTGGTACCGTTGAAATCCCAGAAATTTCAGTGATCCCAGAACCTGCACTCTGAAAAAAAATAAAATTGAAGTAATTCTTTTAACTGATAGATTTTTGTAAAAAAAATATTTGAAAGCAGAACTGGCTCTAGTCTGCCTGCTTTAGAATTGACTAAACCTCTATAAGACTGGGATCTTTAATCCCCCCTTTTTTTTTACCTTCTTCCTTTTTGTTACTGGAAAAGGAGGAATAAGAAAGTAGCTTTCAGAATCATTCAGTGATTTATGAACACAAACTGAGTTTCAGTGCAACACTTGCACACTTTTGCTGCTTATGTGCTCCTCAAAGTCTCACCCTTGCTGTAAATTGAGGGAGTTTTATTTTATGCTCCTTTTAATGCCAGTACTTTTGTCCCAGGAAATTCTCCACAGTCCCATCAGTAAGTAAATGGAAGCCAGGGATTTTACAACTTTCATGACAGATAAGCCCTCATTTTCTCTCTTTGAACAAGCCCAAAGCTCCTGCCAGAAATCCAACACATGGGTGGCCTGCAACTTACAAAACATGGTCTAGATTTGTACTGGTTTGCTAAAGCTAAACAAGAATGAGCAAAACAGGTTGGCTTGTGTTACCTACTTGCACAGTTTAATGGTGAGCACTAGGTTTCCTAATTCCTGTTTGTGTTTTAGAAGGAGATTTTATTTTCTTCTTTTCTCCAAAGATGCAGCCTGTCTCCTTTTGGAAGCTGGGCAGGGTTAGGGCCATCTGACCTGGGGCTTGCAGGAATTGGGCAGCTCCTCAGCCTTTTGGATGATTGTGTTGGAGGTGGCACGGACAGGTCAGCTACACTCAGTTTGTCTGGCAAACTTTGTAGAGGCTTTCCACAATCTGACCTGGAAAATGTACTTTCCCCTTCATGTTTCTCAATCACCAGCTCAGAGCCAAGCCTTATCAGGGACAGCTCTGCTCCAGGTCAGCAGGTTAATGACAAGAAGAAATGTCTTTTATCCCCTTGCCAAAATGTCATGCCCATTCCTCTTGAAACAAGGCCACGGTCACCAGAACCTGGGCCGCTGTTTACCCCAGGAGAGGCTGCTGGAGTTCACTGGGATGGGAGGTGACAACGAGAGAAAGCCCTTGCTGACCCTGGCTGAAGGAAGCCTGGCTCTCTGTTCCCATCCCTGCAGCTGAGGTGTCTCAGAGCTGCTGCCAGCCCAGCAGAGCTCTCAGAAGGGAAAGGTGAAGGCTCTGCTGAAGGGGTGACCATCAGTGGTCACAGAAATCCATGGGGCTGGAGTGAGCTTGGGTCTCCCTGCCACCACAGCACACTGCAAACCTGCCTTTGAACAAAAGATTGGTTGCAATAATGAAATTCAATAACACAAATGTGGCACTTCGTGGGTAAAAAATGTATTTATGGGGACTTGCAGTGTGAAGTTTGTGCTTTGCCTCAGAATTCATTTGATTACCTAAAATCATGGACAATCACAGAGCAAATCTCATATGACAGTTTTCCCCCCAGAAGTATAGAAATGTCTGAAGCTCAAGCCTCAGACTCTCTCAGCCTCCTTTTAAGACACAATCACAAACAAAGAGTACACAGTGCTCAAGACATCTGCTGTTACCTGTGAATAGGTGCTGCATGTAATCAGGGTGCTCTTTAGCAAAGTTTTTATTTGCCTCCTTTATTTTGTCAGCCTTGTCTCCTTTCACAAATGGTGTGTACATAACTGAAAAAGATACTTCTCTCTTGAAGGCTTCTTGAGCTGCAGCCTAAAAAAGACAAAGAAATGATACATTTCTCATTGGGTAATGGCTAGTTAAAAAAACACCAAAAAACCCCTTCATTCTCTGATGATATTTTCCCTTTAATAATTGCACAGTCATGCAAAGATAACATATTTTGGTTCTGAATATTAATTAGAGAGGAATTTAAATTAGTTCCAGAAAACACTGCCTATCTATATTCAGAAAATCAATTTAATGGGGAAAGAACATTTGTAAACAGTTTTCAGTGCAGCGAGCCTCTGTCTTCAATGAGGAGAAAAGTATTAGCTAAATTATCTCCTAGATGAAAAGAAAGAGTGATTCCATGCTCTTTGAAGGTCACAGCTTTCATCTGAGGGTTTTATTCAGTCCTTGGGAGCTGGTTAAAAAACACTAAGCATTCATATTACCCCTTGGGTTGGCACGAATCAGACACTGTGCCTGTACGGAATATTAGTCTTAAAATATTGCATTTAAGCACCGTTTGCATTAAGAGTAAAATTCACTCCTATGCAGAGGGCAACACGAAGCTTATGAACCTTTTCATCCCTGAGAAATGACTCAAATGATGCATTGTGCTGGGCTGGTGCAGAGAGGTGGATTTCACACTCGGTGGACCCCAGTGGTGCTGGAGCTGCCAGGAGGAGCTGCCAGCCTGGGAACAGCCTTGCTTGGCATTTTTATCCACCAGAGCAAGGGAGGCTGAGCTGCAGCTCCTCCTGGGCTGGAGTTTGGGTCAGAGCACGTTCAGCTCTGCCTTGGCTGCATCTCCTGCTGTCTTAGGTTGGAAATTGTGTGAATTCTATTCCCATCTGCTAGAGGTGGGGCAGTTACCTGCTGTTCATTAGGAGTTTTCTTTATCTCTCCCACAACCAATCCTCCCTCCAGGAGCTCTCTGCTGTTCATGGGTCATTAATTATAAATTATCTTCTGTTCATGGCCAGTGAGTGTCCCTGCAGGGCTGATCAAATTCCATCATCCCATGGGGAGATGGGCCATGCTTGGCTCCGCCCAGAGGAGGAGCCAAGCATTCTTACCTGGGTACAATCTGAGCTTTGGGACAGCAGAGCAGCCTTTGCCCATTGCATTCCCAGAGGAGCAGCTTCCTGCTGCCCTGCATTGCCAGAGGAGCAGCTTCCTGCTGCCCTGCATTGCCAGAGGAGCATCTTCTGCTGCCCTGCATTGCCAGAGGGAGCCCAGGCCCATCTCCAGCAGCCCTGGAGCTGCAGAGGAAAACTCCCCCCTTGTGCAGGATCCCTGCTCCAGCAGAGCCACAGCTGGCACTGCAGGAGGGCTGAGCCCCCATGGGATGGGGCTGTGCCACCCCCTGACACACAGGGGTCAGGGACTGCTCTCTCAGTGGTTTCTTTTCTTGTCTGTACTATTGCATTTGTGTTTCAAAGTTTCCTAGTAAGGAACTGTTATTCCTATTCCCATATCTCAGCACTATCACAGAGTTAACAGGGATGGTCAGACAGGCATGGGAGGAACGGATATCTGCATTTCAATGGGGGGTATGAATCTCCCAGGTCCCCTGGGGTGATTCACAGAGGGTGTCACTGTGGGACCAGCTCTCTGTGTTATTGACAAGCCTTCATTTTTGCTCTCCAGTCTATCCCCAACCTGGGTAAAATTATCCAAGGCACAGTGTGGCTCCGTGAGTCATCCCTTCAGCTGATGACTGCTCCCACCACCCCAGGATGGGAGGCTGAGAGTGCCAATTAGTTAAGTTTCCATGTCCTTCTCTCTAATGGCTTTAGACAACAGGACTCTTGATAAGGTTTTATGCCAGTTTATTTCCATCCTGTTGATTGATATGGGGCATGCAGAAGTGCTGTTACAGTTGGTTTGAGTAGATTTTAGGATAGGCTGCCACACGTGCGCCCTGAGTGCTCTTACACTGATTACTCTGCCTGGATCTTGAGGGTATCACTGGGGATTTGTTTATATTTTGGATTTCTATATTTAGCCAGCACATTATCCTGCGTTTATTGGAATGGAAGCAGTCTGGAGTGGCCAGTTTAGCCCTGGAGAATTAACAAGCCTCAAATGTGTGTAATAGTATTATGGCCACCCGGGGCAATAATAACATTCCACCCAGGTGAGGAGAACATCCAGCTTTCCGTGGGCAGAACCATGTTATCCATGGTTAATGCCACAGATCTGGAGGTATCAGACCAGAAAATAACAAGTGTGTCCTCTTGCCAAGAGCTTGGGGCACACACAAGGGGATCTGTTCCCATTCCTTCCTGTGGAAAACTTACCAGTCTGCACTGATTGACAAGAAAGTGATTTTAGGTTTTCTTATTTCTGTGGCTTTAATTATCTTGTTGTTCAGGGCCTTTAGAGGATCATGTAGCAAACAATGCCACCAATCTAACTTTCTAAAGATACATTTGAAAAGAAACTTTTCCAAGTTTTTCTGAATTTCACGTGTAAATATAGACATGGAATTAGGTCAGCCTAATTTTGTGTGAGAAGTTGGGTATTCTGCTTATTCTATGTAGGTTGGCAGCCCTCTCCTAATCCAGATTGATGTGAGCATGTGAGTGTGGGTTTGGGTGTATCCACACACTTCAGGTTTAAAATAGGTGGAGAGAGGGAGCGAGGTGGGGAAGCGAGTGGCTGGACCAGGCAAGCTCTGCAGTCTGCAAAGTTCATTTTTGGGTTTAGAACCCTCAAGATCACTTCAAAGTCACACTTTGGGATCTCTGCATTGCCTGGTACCTGTGGCTACCCTGCACAGCAAATAGTGAATAGTTATTTGGGCAATAATAGTGAAATGTCAGCCAATGAGGAAAAAAGCAGATTGATCATTTCTGGTCAATACTGTTACTGAAGGTATTATTATTATTACCCAAGAGCATTTTCCCCCAGGCTACTGACTCTGGACATAGACACTATTTGTTTTACTATCTTCTTGGATTTTTATGGGGGTAAAGTCTTTAAAGATATAAAAACTTCAGCCCATAAAAACTTTGGAGGAGAAAACTTTATATGAGGAAATCCCAGAGGATTTTTCTGCTCACGCCTTTATGTACTGAAATCTGTCACTGTGGATGAATATCTGGCAGCATGTCCAGGAAGCAGAGATGTCTCCAGAACATTTGTTGTGCTGTGCACATGTCACTCAAGATACAGACACACCAAAAAGAGGATTGGAAGGGCTCAATGGACTTCCAGAAATTCCTTGCAGAGAGGGTTGGGCAGCTGGTTTTTCCCTGTTTTCACGTGTTTTGATGTCCTTGCATCAGAACAGGCCTTTCTACAATGTCCTGTCAGGTGCAAGAAGGAGGATGTTGCTTTTCTGGCCTCAGAGTGAAGGAGTGTGAGGCTCTCGTGAGTGTGGGGGCAGCTGCTAAGCTGACAAAATGATAAAGAAAGATTTTTTTTTTTTTTTTTTGCATATCTTGCAACTGAGCTCTGCAGCAAGTCTCATCACGTGGAGCTACACTCCAGCCCTTAATTCCAGAAAAGTTAGAAAACATGGAGTCCTTGAGGTGATTTTAAAATATAAGGGAGAGCTCCTCTAGCAAGGTACAATAATGAATGTAAGGGCTGTGACTGACACGAGGCTTCAGCAGTGGACAGAATCTATTTCCCCAGCAAAGATGCGAAAACTTGCTTTAAAAGAGACTGCAGAATAAGCTGGTGATGTGGAAGATTTCTTTTTGTAGTTATGGGACTGACTCATGCTCTGCTGTGTCAGGAGGTTTATATCCCTGTTTTGGAAGTGTGGGGAATCAGAGAAGTTCTGCAGAGAAACCATATGGAGACAAAGTGTCTCAAGGGGTATTTATATTGTCAGCACCTCTATTAAAATACCAATTAATTCCTTCACGAAGCACAAGCTTGAGGGATGCCTCACTTACAGGTTTGAGGCATGTACTTTGCTATAGTGAAAAATAAGAAGCCAAAAGATATTCTTAAGAAACAAACTTTGTTTTGATCGAGTTTTTAAACCCATATTTGACCCAAAACTGTCTCATACTCTTCTCTGAGCCTCTGGGCTCTGCAATATCCAAGGTTTTCTTCCCTGTGAGGGTTGTGAGGTCCTGGCACAGGTTGCCCAGAGAAGCTGTGGCTGCTCCATCTCTGGAATTGTCCAAGGCCAGGTTGGACAGGGCTTGGAGCAGCCTGGGATAGTGGAAGGGGGTGAAATGGGATTGGATTTAAGGTCCTTTCCAACCCAAACCAGTCTATAATTCTGTGACTCAACACTCACTAAAATTCTGTTAAGAACTCATAAAATGAATAGGTAGATGCACGAGAAAGGAACCTTCCCTGTGCCAGCTTCTGATGGCAAATGATGTAACTGCTTCAATATTTTTATGAAGCTCTTGCCATTTTGCATTAGAGCAGACATAGAAGAAAAATGGCACTCTAGTGAAAAAGTCTTCATAACAGTGAGAGTAGCTTTCCCTGCCACAGTTCCTAACCTTAATCCTCTTTAACTACAGAAAGGTTTAATTTGGAAAATCCAATTATCTTGACATCTAGAATTAGCCAAAAATTTAGATATCTTTCTAGTGCCTTATCTTGCAGCTGCAGTGCACACTCAGTCCCTGTCTCATTTACAGTACAGCAGGAACTGATGCTTTTATTGATGATTTTTATTAATGCAATGGTATCAGACAGGGTAAAGCCATTAGCCTCTTCTATGAACTCCTTCCACTCCTAGGCTGGTAGTTAGAATTATGGGTGCACTGCAGTGCAACCTATGTGCTTTTCTCTATATCTTTCCAACCATACAAAAGTCTCTGGCAGTCCTGCCACTAAGTCTGGGGCTGTTGTGATACGAATATCTTCTCAACAGCACGATCCTCTTACATAATTTTTATTTTATATTTTTTTTCTGTGGGGAAAAAATAAGCAGACAGAATGCCAGAGCACATCCCTTTCTCAATATGTTTATGGTATGAATAAATCATGTATTGCACAATAGATGAGAACTTTTTGCTTATCTGCCTTGTAATGCCTCCCCATTAATGTAGGTCACATCAAAT